AGCATCTGTGGTAAAAAGGCCTTTTGGCCAACTTCTTGGCTCTCCAGAAGCTCATTTCCTTTGCTCCATCTCCTGCATTTTCCATTTTCTGAGTAGGGAAGAGGAGTTGGAGAATCTCAGGATGAATTTCTGGGAAAAGTATTTAGAGACTTTCCTTCCACCCTACCTGGAACAGAAGAGGGAAGAGTATTGTGTTGTTCTGGGGTGGAAAGAGTCTTGAACTCAGTAATAGAACCTGCTTTAGTCGCACCTCTTTCAGCTACTAGCAGTGTGACCTTAAACAAGTCACCTCCCTTCTCTGGGCCTGTTTGCTCCACTCTAGAACGTTGAACTTAAAATCCCTTTCATCTGTTCTATGTTCTAAAGTCTCTTCTGGCTCTGACATTCCGTATTCTAAGCTCTACCCCTGAGGATAGTGAAGGAGGCAAAAAGGCAAGCCAAACCAGTGCATTTTAGTTATTGTAATAATCCATTATATTTATACCCCATGTTACGTTTCTAAAACATTTTACAAATGTCATCGCATTTGATTCTCACAACAGCCCAGTGACATTGGAAATACAAGTACTATTATCCACATTTTATAAAACAGGAACCTAAGAGAGGAAGTGACTTCCCCAGTGTCACACAACTAATAATTTTGGAGCTAGGACTCAAACTCGGGTCTTCAGTTATTAAGTCCAGGGCTTTTTCTTCTCCACTGAGCTGCTATAAAAGAAGTGACTCCTTTTCCCTAGAGAACACAGTACTTACCAGTTAGAAGCCCTTAGAGGAGGGGTTAGGACAGAAGTGGGGATCCTGCGGCCTCGAGGCCACATGTGGTCTTCTAGGTCCTTGGGTGCAGCCTTTTGACTGAGTCCAAGTTTTACAGAACAAATCCTTTTATTAAGGTAATTTGTTCTGTGAAGTTTGGATTCATCAAAGGACCTAGAGGGCCACATGTGGCCTTGAGGCCACAGATTCCCCATCCCTGGGTTAGGATTTACTCAGCATGTAAGTTTAAAGTTGAATTCAGGAAGATAGGGCTGGAGAAAATGGATAGGACTATACCCTCAAAGATATCAAAGGAAGAGAAATATGACCTATTTGTACCAAAATACTTATGGTAACTCTTTTTGTGGTGGCAAAGAATTTGAAACTGAGAGGTCCCCATCCATTGTGCAATGGTTGAAAAATTTATGGTATATGAATGTGATGGAATATGCTATCAGAAATTATATGGGAGGATGGTTTCAGAAAAAGGTTGGATTTGAGCTCAGGTTTTCCTGACTCTTAAAACCAGCATTATGCCATTTAGCTGCCAATAAGTTTTGCTTGACTATATATATTTGTAACAGAAGTTTTGTTTTTCTTGCTTTCTTACTGGGGGGACCAGAGGGATGGTGAGGTGGGGAAAAGAGAAGGCAGAGAAGGCAGATCTTCTTGAAAATAAAATAAAATTGAATTTTTTTCTAAAAAGAATCTACAGGGGCCTTTCAGAGATAGGAGGCTTCCCTTATGTGTCCTTCCCTTTTACCATTAATATCACTTTCCTTAATAATTTGTGTAGTGTTAGGTTTGATATGGAAACATAAAAGGGTTGGCAGAGAATTTTAACTAAATCCAAGATGGCTGAAGGAGAAATGACTTTTGCCTCCATCAGATGAGCACAGCTGGGTCTCAAATACAATTATGCAATAAACAGTGAGGTTATTGTGGTCTGGGAATGTGGTCTGATTTTCCATTAGAGGCACCTTCCTTCCCTGCAGATTACATCCTCTTCAGGGTGCGTAGAAGCTTTTTGTGGAAGGAGATTGTGTTTTCTCTCTCTTTGTTAGGGCAAGGAGTAATCTGTGGAAGATACTTCAGTGGCAAGAAAATGAAAAATTAGGAGAGAGAGCATCAAATTACTTTTTCCTCCTCCTCTTTCTGGTTTTCTTGGAATCAGAGAATTTCAGAATTGGAAAGGACTTTAGGATGACTCCCTGCTCAGCTCCAGCTCCAGCTCAGCTCCAATGCTACGTTCTATTTGAAGCCTCTCCTGGCCTTTCCAGTGGCTGATGCCTTCACCCCCAAATTACTTTGTATATATTTAGTATTAATTTATCTGTGCACATGTTATTTTCCTCCAGTAGACTGTAAGTTCCTTGAAGATAAAGACTTTCATTTTTGTATTGTTATCTCCAGTGCCTAGTACTGTGCCTGAAACAGAGTTGTTGTTCAGTCATTTACAACTCTTTGTGACCTCATTTGGGGTTTTCCTGGCAATATACTGGAGCGGTTTGCCATTTCCTTCTCCAGCTCATTTTACAAATGAGGAAACTGAGGCAAACGAGGTTAAGTGACTTTCCCAGGGTCACACAGCTAGCAAGTGTCTGAGGCCGGATTTGAACTTAAGCCTTCCTGACTCCAGGCCTAGCTCTCTATCCCTTGCTCCACCTAGCTGCCCCCAGAATATATTAAGTGCTGAATTTGTTGCATTTAATTGAATGCAGTGTATTAGAACTGGAAAGAACCCTAGAGATCTAGTCTGCCCACTATTTTATCAAAGGGGAAATAATATTCAGAGGGGTTTGCTTGCCTGAGGTCACAGAATGAATTGATGGAACTAGAACTCGGTCCTCCTGGCTCCAGCACTGTTTTCACTGTACCACACTGAATAAGCGGGAAATGTATCTCTTAAGTGTTTCCTGCATCCCAGAGTGCTTACTGTGTGCTGTGCTAACCTCTGGCAATAGAAGCAGAGAAGGGAGTCTGTTAGAACCGAGCCTGCCATCCAGAGTGATGAATTTGAAAGGAGCCTTGGGCTTATTTTAGGAGATTGAGGGCCTTTCTGGTCTGAACCCCACCACATACTAGCTGTGTGAATTTGGGCAGAACCCTCAACCTCACTAAACCTTGGCTTATTCAATCAGTTGGAGTCAACCCCTTTCCCCCATCTGGGCTGATTTGAAATAATACATGAAGAAACTTTATAAACCACAAATGACTATATTAATGTGACGCATTATGTTCTTATACATTATTCCTTTCTCATTAGGAAATATACTCCAGTATATTGCCAGGAAAACCCCAAATGAGGTCACAAAGAGTTGTAAACGACTGAACAACAACTCTGTTTCAGGCACAGTACTAGGCACTGGAGATAACAATACAAAAATGAAAGTCTTTACCTTCAAGGAACTTACAGTCTACTGGAGGAAAATAACATGTGCACAGATAAATTAATACTAAATATATACAAATCCACTAAATATATACAATCCACAAATGTTTATTAAGTAAGTGCTTCCTGTGTGCCAAGCATTGCTTTAGGCATGGGGGACACAAAAGCAAAAGTTTGAACAGTTCCTGCACTCAAGGAGCTGTACAGTCTGATGAAAGGAGGCAACTTGTACATATAGAGGAATAGGCAAAATAGATTTGAGGTCAAGGGGAGAGACTAGCAGCTGGGAGGCTCAAGAAGGGCCTCATGTGCAAGCTGGTGGCTATGAAGGAAAGTTGGGATTCTGAGAGCTGGAAGCTCATCGGGGTGGTGGGGGGCGGGACGGGCAGTTCAAAAGTACCAAGGCAGGAGATGGCATGCTTTACATAAGAACAGCTTGGCTGGACCACAGTTTGCACGAAGGGCAGTAATGTGCAGTAAGGTTACAAAGGTAGGTTAGAGGCAGGTTTTGAAGAACTTTAAATGCCAAGCAGAGGAATTTATATTTGATCCTGGAGGCAATAGGGAATCATTGGAGTTAGTGAGGACAGAGTAATGTGGTCAGGTTTGCATTTTAGGAAAATCAGTTTGGTAGCTATATGAAAGGAAGGATTAAGAGGGGAAAGATGAGGCAGGAAGACAGATTTGGAAACTGTTGGAATCGTCCAAGCAGGGAGTGTTGAGGGCCAGAAATAAGATGGTGACTGTGTGAGTTGTGAGAAGAAGGTGGATACAAGAGATACTGTGGAGATAGAAACAATGAGATTTGACAGTTGATTGAATATGTGGGGAGGAGTCAAAGGTAACCCTGAGCTTGTGGGGCCTGACTTACTGGAAGGATGTTGGTACCTTTAACAGGAATAAGAATGTTTGGGAGTCGGGGCAGGACTTGGGGGAGGGGGAGGATGTTGAGTTCTCTTTTGGACATAATTGAGTTTCTAATGTCTACGGGATTTCCTATTTGAAATGTCCAGTAGGTAACTGGTGATGTGGGACTAGAGCTTGGCAGAGGGACTAGGGCTAAGAACATATTCTGGGAGTCATCAGCAAGAAGATGTGATATGAGCTGATGGGCTCACTGAGAGTGAGTGTAGAGAGATAAGAGGACCAAATCCAGAGCCTTTGAGAGTACCTGTAATTAGGAGGTGTGTTGTGGATGACAATCCACCAAAAAAAGGCTGAGAATGAAAAGCCAGATGACTGGGAGGAGAACCAAGAGAAGACAGAGGAATCCAAAGAGGAAAGAATGCCCATGAGGAGAGGGTGGTCAGTGTCAGATGCTGTGAAGAGGTCAAGAGGATGAAGATTGAAAAAAGGGCATCCCATTTAGAAATTCAGAAACCACGGGTGACTTTGGAAAAGTGATAAAATTGGAAACTATATTATAGGGAGGTTAGAAGAGAGGAAAGGGAAAGGAAGTGAAGGTAATAAGTAGAGACAGCATTTTCAAAGAGTTTGGCTGAGGAAGGTAAGAGGAAGATAAGACAGTTGCATATAAGGTCTAGTGAGGATTTTTAAAGATGGTGGTGAGGGAAACGTGGTCATATTTGTAGGCATAGGGAAGGAGCCAGTGCGTAGGTAGAGATAGAAGATTAGAGGGAGAAAAGGATGATAGCGAGAGCAGTTTACTTAAAGGAGAGGGGTCAAAGGTACATGTAAAAGGGTTATTGGCCTTGGAAAGGAGAAGGCAATTCCTTCATCAGAGCTCAGAGTAAAGGAGAGAATGTTAGGGATGATGCCAAGGAAAAGGGGCAAATGCTCTCTTCTTGTTCTTTCGTAGGCTGATCATAAATAGAAGTTTCTTCTCCTTCTGCAGGTGTCTTGGCCATCTTGATCCCTCGACTAGACCTTGTCATCTCCTTGGTGGGCTCTGTGAGCAGCAGCGCCTTGGCTCTGATTATCCCTCCACTCCTGGAGATCACTACGTATTACTCGGAAGGCATGAGCCCCATCACCATTGCTAAGGACATCTTGATCAGTGTCTTGGGCTTCATTGGGTTTGTGGTGGGCACCTATCAAGCACTCTATGAGCTGATCCAGCCAAGTGTGTCTCCCGCTTTTGCCAACGTTACCAGTGCCTTTGTACAATGACCTTTTCGGTACATTCTCTGCGTGAAGCCACCCCACCCCACCAAATGTCTGTCGCCAAGGCCTCGGGTAAGGCCAAGGATGGAGCAGGCTAGGTAGGGGCTACTCTTATTTGTCAGTCGGGGACTTATAAATAGCCAGGCCAGTGGGACTGGTTGGACTGTGGATGATTCCAATAGTGATGGTCATTTCTCAGTACTTGTTTTACCCCAACACTTTCCCACCCGTTCCCTCCCCTCTTACATTTTGTGGCTTTTATCTTAGTGCAGCACAACTCTCTCCATCTTTCAGTGACTCACCTGGATAGTTTCCTCTCCTCTGGTCCAAGCCTCTACAAAACAGGTCCATCTGTTTGACTGCTACCCCTGTTCTTTTACCTCTGATTTTCTTGCCTTCTGGACTCTTCTGGGGGGCTGCACCTTAAACTACTTTCAGCTGAATACTTCAAGTTACAGTCTTGATCCTGACTTGATCCAGGTTTTCTGGGGCACCTTAGGCAGCACCTTCCCCTCAGAATCTACCACATGTGGGGGACGAATATGAGCACGTTCCTAATCACTTAGCACTTTGAACACACTCTGTACTGTGTGAGTTCAAAACCTTTCTGCTTTATTTCAAGTTAGGCCTCTGCACCTGAACTCTCTCTGAGTCTGTAATTGCTGGGGTCATTAGACCCAGCTTATTCTTGCCAAACCTCACCCTTGCTTTTCCTATGAAAAAAATTACTTGATTTAAACTCGTAATTTATTGTACATTTAGCATAGAAATGGGGAAAGCAGTCCGCTGCTCTCATAACCATCTTCTAAGAGAAGATTAATGCACTTGGGACAAGACTTGAGGCTCGCATGAGGCCAAAACACAAAATGTGTCACAGGACGTTTAGAAAATTAATTCTATAAGCCAGGTTCCTCAGTCTCTATGAGAAGAATTGAAAGGTATGACAGTATCCTCACTGACAGCATGTATTGGAACCCTGAATCCATCTCAGTCTGGTTAAATTGGCAGCATATGTCCCTGCCTCATTCTCCTTCTAGGCTGGGGGTTATGTATCCCATTGACAAAGATGAGAAGTCAAGGTCAGCAAGTCAAGTCCTAGATAGAAACAAAGCAATTGAGGAATTCCCACCATGTGGGGTGAAGTTACGTTGTGGAACTTGATTGATTAAGGAGCTCAGTCAGAGAGTTCTCCATAGTACAGCCCTTACTGGCTCCAGAGCTGTCTCTCTGTCCCACACTTCTCATGAGCCCATTAGGGGACATACCTACTTGGGGCACTGGTAACACTATTATAAGGGATCCTGACCTTTTCTTCCTATCAGGCTTCCCTATGTGCCAGGAGCATTGGTTGCTAAGGATCTGAGGCCACCTTAGCCTAAATTAAGGTTTTGGAAGCTTCCCAGTCCTGAATTTGAGAAGGGGCTGAACTAGCCTCTTGAAGATGAGTCTCACTCATCTAACTTTTTACTGTTTCCTTGCCCTTCCTGCTTGATGATTGGGAAATGATTCAAAAGGGCATTAGTGAATTCTTTGACTCTGTCTGTTGGCCCAGAGGGTTTTAGCAAAGGTCCATTTGGTGCCTCTCCCACCCCTCCCTGTGCCCTCACCATAACTCTTTGCTCTGCTGCCCTGGAAATACAGGTGCCTTAGGCAGTAGGGTAGGGGAGGGAAGTTTATCTCTCCATCTTTGCTTTGCCTTTTTGCCTTCAAGCAGGGCTCAGGCTTCTATGTGAGTACTTGATGCTTAAGTCAGTGGGGTGGCTGAGGGTGAAAGCTTTAGTCAAGGTGACCCTATGCCTCTGAAATCAGCAGGATGTCAGGGGTTCTTCCTCCAAAATCAAGTACAGCTAGATGTCAGGTGAAGGGGCTGAAGAAGGATTTCTTTTTAAATGTACAATGTCTCTTAATAGATAAAAGATGCTTAAAAACTCTAGCAAAAAAGATTTACATCAAACAATCAAACTGAGGACTTATTCTGGTCTCATACCTATTAGAACCAAATTACAATTTATAACTTGATTCTGGCCAGTGGGAATTTTGTTTTCCATCCCATGCTGTTAGGGGATGGTAAAGGGTCTTGGAAAACAAATGCAAACTGGAATGGATAGGAGGTGCTGGTTCTTTGGTTCTTAAATTCCAGAAGAGAATTTAATAGTTTTTTTTTTACCTCCCATTATCGGCCAAGCTTCTGGAATCTATGTAACCACCCTGCTGTTAGCTTAACAGTCTATCCAGAATGGTCCTCAGTCCTTCCTCCCTCCTCATATTTCTTTGGAACCCCTTCTGCATCACTGCTGTGACCTAGGCCATGACCTCAGGGCCTAGAACACTTGAGACAGAGACCCAGGACCTCCCAGCTATGGAGCAGAGGCCAGGTCATAATGTCAGCTTTCTGCTCCAAGGTCTCTTAAGGGACCAGTGCCTCTGCTTTGCACTTTGTAGAAACTAACCTAGGGGCTCTGTCCTCTTAAGGGTGCTGGATATGTAGCTAGGGGAGAAAAGGCTTAAAGGGAGAAGGCAGGCATGAGGAGCTTTTTTTTTTTCTTTCCGTTGTCCTTTGAATAGAAAATCAGAGCCCTAAAGACCCTGCCCTCTAGGGAGTGGCTCTCCATGTACCTCCATAATGTTCCTATCCCTTCTTTGTTTCTTCCTCCCCTTGGCACCTCTTTGCTTGTAAATATTCCAGGCTTTTTACTGCAAGGGACTCAGTTTCTGTCTGGGTTCTCTGTCTATTCCCTAGACTGGGTGAGTTGGGCTGATCGCAGACAAGGGTCTACGGGAACCTCAAAGAATGCAGGGTTCTCTTCATCCAGCGCCAGAATTGGGAGCGGGGGTTTCCTAATCTCACTTGACAAAGTACAATCCTACTCATCTAGAGAGGGGGCAAGGGGAAATTCCTAAATTTACTGGGAGCTAGGTGCCCTATCCTGGTATGTTGGGTTCAGGTCCCTTGTCCCTGGTAACAACTCTCTTCACAAGGGCATTATTTATGTTTAGTGCTATCCAAGTGTTAGACTGATGAGCACTGCTGTGTACGCACAAACCCTGAGCAGAAGTGAATAGTTTTGTGTTAGCCTAGACCCTGTTGCCTATAGCCTTCCCATTCTGTGATCCAACTTCCCTACCCTAGTTAGTATTGGATATGCTTAGTACCAAGACCTCATCCTTCAAAACCCTATAATCCTCTCCTTCAAAAAACCTTTTAGTTTTGTGAAACCCTTAAGGTAGTGAAACCGAGCTGGTAAATTGGGAAAGATCACTTTCCTCCCTCTCTACCACCTCTCTAGATACATGTTAGGCAGAAGAATGCCTTCTTTATTTAACACTACATGCTCACTTCATGCTTTCTTCAAGTGTAACAGTAAAATTCCACTCATTGTTTACAGATTTTATTCCTTATTCACTACTGCAAATGAATTGGTCTGAGCGTCTTATCTGTATAATAAGGTAATAGAGTCAGTGCTTGGTGTTGGGCAGAACATTATGCTACTTACTCTCAGAAGAGCCATACATTTGCCACTTTCTCCTAAGAGAGCCATAAAGTGAAAATAGTCTGATTTGGTGACTTCAGAATTGCCTTGCATTTGAAATTTGCAGAAAGGATCAAATGATTGTCCATGAGCACAAATTGAACAGACATCTTAGACTACGGCTCAGGCAGGGGGAGACTAGGGAGTCAAGGGTGTGTATTGCTTTTGAAACCTTGGGCAGAATGGCTTAGGCAGTTTATCCCTCTAGTTCCAAGGTGGTTTGGCCTAATGGTGTCAAGTTTCTTCTGAATCTTTGTACCATCAAAGTGTCTTATTGGTTTGGTCAGGGTTGGGGCTAGGCTAGGAGCAGAGAGTGCACGGTTAGAAATAATTAGATTTTTTTAACTTCAAGAAGAGGTTAATAAATTATCAGAGGGTGAAGTTTGATGTCTGACAATTACTTAACTGAAAAATCAACCAATCATGTTTGCCATTGTCCAAATGAATAAGAGAGTAGAAAGTCTCAATTCAATGTAAGATTGCCACATGGCAGATCCCAGTAACCAGGATATCACCGTATAATGCAACCACCAGGAGCCGATGGTATTGTAAATGTTTTGTGCCTTTTATATTTATATTAAGTACAAATGTGGCTCATGCAGGGAGCTTTGTGGGAGATCTTGTGTTTGATTCTGCACATGGATCATGTGTTTTTCCTTTCAATAAATGAAGTGTTTTTGTTTTCGTTTTTTTAATTTTGAGAGGTTTGTGCTATTGGCTTTGTTTTCATGGTTTGTTGTTTTTTTTTGTTGTTTTAGTTTTTTTGGGGGGGGTTTGTGGGGTTTTTTTGTGGTGCAAATGTTCCTCATCCATGTCTCTGGAGGAAATACTGGTTATGGGGGTGCTAGATGGGAAGATGGAACTGAATGTGTTAACAGTGGGAAAAACACGAATTTAGGAATCAGAAAATCGCATTTCCTATTTCAGCACCGTAAGCACATACAGGATGTGCTAGATGCTGGGGATAGAAACAAAGAAAACCAGTCCCTCACCTCAAGGAGCTTACTTTCTTCTGGGAAGGATGCAGTGTTGACACAGATAAGTAAATGCAAAATCATTTGAAGAGGGAGACAATAAAAGGCTTCCTGGAGGAGGTGAGCTTCACAGGAGGCTAAGGATTCCAAGAGGCGACAGGAGGAAGAGAATGCATTCCAACTGTAGGAAATGGACAAGGCCAAAGCAGGAAGCCAGGAATTGGAATGAATAGACTAAGTTTGGATAACAGCAAGTGGTCCTACTTTGGGTGGAATCTAGTGTGTGTGAAAAAGAACAATGTGAAATAAATAAATCAGAACCTAATTGTGAAAAGCCTTAAATGACAAGCTGAGAAGTTTGTATTTATACTAAAGGCAATAGTGAACCACTAAAAGTTCTTAAGTGCTGGAGTGACATGGCAAGACATATACTTTTAGGAAGATTATTAAGGTGGCTTTTTGGAGGATGATTAGAGAGGGGAGAGACTGGGAGCAAGGAAATCAGTCTAATAAGATAATAAATGTGAAAATGCTCTGTAATTGCAGCATCCTAGAAATAGGACCTATATAGCTAGATTCAGGTCAGAAAGGTAGCATCTGCTCATCAGGGTTCCCCACCCCTACCTTAGACTCTTCTGTATGTTTCCTTTAAATGTGAAGCCCAGAACTGAATCCAGTACTCCAGGTTTGATCTGGTGCCTGAGATAGCACATGCTGATTTTCCTATTGCTACTAATAGTTGTTTGGGCCTCACTCATGTATGTCAGGCCTCTGAGGCTTCTAGGGTAACAGGCTACTTTGCTAGAAACATCTGTATCAACACTACATGGAGAATCAGGGCTCTGAGCCAGAGACTGCTGACTGGGTTGCTTCCTTCAGACTTACAAAACCCATCAAAAATAGAAAAAGCCAGGAGCAGAGGTTCTCAGGAGGCTGGGGGATTGCTGTTTGATAAACACTGACCTGGAAAAGATACCAAAACCCCGTTGCACTGAGAATTTTCAATAGTTTAACAACCAGTCTGTTCTGGAAATAAATGCCAGCATCAAATTATGGGTGACAATGCAGATAGAGAATGCTCACCTGAGAAGGAATCTTGAAGATTCTTCCTTAGTTTGACTAAAGAATGCCCTCTGGTGGCCAGGTCTTAATAACTCTAAAAGGGAATAAAGGCACAATGGCTAAACCTATCATTGACCTTTTGGAAGCAGGCTCGCTGGGAGGTGATAATGCCCACCACCAAGCCATTAGAGCCTCAGAACTGGGATTAACTTTACCAAGTCCTCACCCCATTCATTATTCTCTTACAGCATCCCTGACAGGGTCGGGGGGGAGGAGACATCCAGGCTCTGCTCCCTCACCTCCAGTGGGGAGCAAGCATCTCTAGGGAGGTGAGCCCTAGGGAGCTGATGTCATTATTGGATAGCACTAAGCATTAGAAAGTTCTTCCTTATTGAGTTGAAATAGTCTTCTTGTATCTTCTGTTCATTGATTCTTGTTCTGTTTTCTGGGGCCAAGAAGAAGCATAACTCCTGAAATAGTACCCTGCCTGGTAAAGTTGGGGAGTGGGACATGTTGTTAAGAGAGGCTGGAAGGGCTGGTGGGAAGGATCAGGGCACGCAGGAAGTAGATGGTGGTTGTAAGGACTGGGGGAGGGTAGTAGGGACTGGAATAGTAGTAAAAGGCACAGTTTCCACAAGTGCCCTTTGAGGGTTATATGGCAACCAGTACCACAGATTTAACCCAGGCACATAGGTCTTAAAGGTTGCCTTTTGCCTCAGTGGCTCCCAAAGAAAGGGTCTCTAGTGCCTTACATAAGGCTACATGTACCACTTCTGACTCCAAAAAGCCAGCACTCTCACCGTCCTCCCCAGGGCTTAGCACAGAAAACTCTCCCTGGGGCCTGCTATAAAAAATTTGGTGGATGTGACTGCCAGAGGGGGCCTCCTAGAGAAGGATGGATGTCCTTTCAGCAAGAAGCCTTTCTCAGTCCTCCTTAATGCCAGTGCTGTCTCTCTGAAATTACCTCCATTTATCCTGTCTGTATCTTCTTTGTATGTAGTTGTTTGCATGTTGTCTCCTCCCATTAGATTGTAAGCTCCCCGAGGGCAAGGACTGTTTTTGCCTTTTTTTGTATCTTCAGCACTTAGTACAGTGCCTGGCACATAGTAGGTGCATAGTAAATACAGTCAATGCTTGTTGACTTGTCTTTTCCTTGCTAAAGATTTCTATAAATGTCACCTAAAATTGTCTTGGATTAGAGAGTCATATAAAGTGGGGCAAGGGGAGGAAGGGGGAGACTATGCCAGTTTGAACATTTCTCTCTCCAAGCTGGAAATGATTTGGGTATAAATTAATAATAAAGTAAGTAAAATAGTTTCTGGCAGACTAGCCTAAATTGCAGTAATACAGTAATAGTATTAACATTTTTTCCTCCACATTCCCATTGCTGCCCTCTTCGAACCCTCCACTCCAGCAAGATCGGCCTCCTTCCTCTTGTCTATCCTCCTGCCCAGGCCCTGAGGCTCATTCATATCTCCAGGCCTGGTCCAGGGAAGTGTAGGCCTCTGTTTCATCATTTCTGTTCCCTTTGACAGAGTCTTCCCCCTCACCAAATTCTGCTTATCATTTAGAGACTAGGTCAAGGAAGAATAAAGCTCACATTCCTATAGCACATTAAGGTTTATGAAACACTTTCCTTACAACCCTGTGATATAGTTAAGTATTACTATTTTATAGATGAGGAACCAGAAAAGGGACTCATCTGAGCCACACAATGTAGATGTAGGATCTTCTTTAACCTTCCTTGTCCTAGCCCACACACATCTCTTCTCTGATCTATAGGCTTTCAGATTTAGAGCTTGAAGGGATCTGAGAGGCCATCTAGGCCAAATCTCTCATTTTACAGAAAAGGAAACTGAGGCCCAGAGACATTAAAAAATGACACACGCAATTTCACACTGGTGCAAAGTGGGCAGAGCCAGGATTCCAACTCCAAAGCCAGCATCCTTTCCATCATGCTCCTCTGCTTTGGTCATTGGGCACTATGAGCTACTGTTGTTTCCGTTTCATGGATTTATACACTTGTGTCGCTAGTGAGACTGTAAGCTGGCGGAGACTACAGACTGTCTTTTCCTCTTGCCTTCCCCCATGGAGGGCAGGTAGGTGGAGCAATGGATAAAGTGCCAGGGTCTGAAGTCAGGAAGACTCATCTTCCTGAATTCAAATCTGGCCTCAGACACTTATTGGCTGTTTGACCTTGGGCAAGTCACTTAACCCTCTTTGCCTCGGTTTCCTCATCTGTAAAATGAACTGGAGAAGGAAATGACAAACAATTACAGTATCTTTGCCAAGAAAACTCCAAATGGGGCTACAGAAAGTCAAACATGACTGAAATGACTGAACAACAACAACAAATCCCCCATAGAACCTGGCACAAAGTTGAGCCCACAAAAAAAGTAAATGGATGCTTGTGAGACTGAAGTCCACAGTATGGTCCAGTGGAATCCACATCATAGCCTTGCAGCCAACCAAGGAAGTCATATCGTGCTTGCTAGACCCCTCCCCATATATCCTCCCACCAACCTAACTCAAGCTAGGCAAGAAAAACCAAGAAGTTCCAGAAAATAAAATGAAAGTTCTCTTTTATTGTAAAAAAAAAAAAATCCATTCACACGTCAGCATACACACTTCCACACACCACATCCATTCCATTCCAAGGTAGACTTTCACAGCTACACAGCAGTCAGTGCACGATGCTCTGTGAAAGTCCCCAGTTTTCTTCAACTCCAGAGATGACACACGAAAAGGCAGTGGACCCTAGTGAGGGATGGGGAGGTGGGGGGCAGCCAGGGGCCTGAGTCCCCATCCCCACTCCCTCTCCCAGCTATATACATTTACCAGACACATAAGAACACATGTATGTGTGCACACCCACACTGACACCTCCATGCATGGGTGTGGCATCACCTCACAGAATACTGGGATTGGCAGGCCTGGAGTAGGGGTTTGGGAACAGCAGGTGACTCTGGAGAGCCATGTGAGGCCTCAGAGCAGTGGGCTGATGATGAAAACTACTGGCAGATCCCATGTGGCCATCCCTGACCCAAGTAGGTGTCATAGACCCTGTCTTCATGAACGGGGCAGGCCCCAGAAACTAAGGGCAGAGAAATATGACAATATGAAAGATTATCTTTCTGGCTTCATGGGCCTCCTGAAGAAATGGATTTTTTAGGGATAGCTAGAATGTAGGTTATAAGATGTGCGCAATCCCCACGCACCTACTCACCCCCAAGCCAGAAAGGCAGGACAAGTTTTCATATCAATCATGGGTTTGGGGTCTGTGGGCTCAGGGAGTGGTAGGCCATCAAGGCTCCTGGGCAGCTGTCGCCATGCCCCCCAGGGCCAACCCTATCCTTGGAGAGTAGAATTTGCAGGCCTCTATGGGTCCTGGTTTCTCAATGCCCTTCACCATAGCCCTGGAGGAATGATACTGTTAGGGCCATAGACCGTCTGAAAATGTAGCCCTTGTTGAGCTAAACTGGAGACTCAGGGCCAATCCTGTCTGCCTGAAGGACTGAGGAGAAAAAAAAAACAGCCAAAAGCCTTGCCTCCTCAGCTTGAATTCAAGACCAGTTTCGCCAACCCAGGCAAAGACTTCCTAGGCAACTGGTCTGTGCTCTCCTGGTTATCCAGGGGCTGGGGCCATCTCTGGAGCTGTAAGACAT